GGAGCGACTCTCCAGCGCAAGCTTAACGGCTTCCTGTGCACAAAAACCAGCCCCTTGGGCAATGAAAGAGAGCGAGAGGAGGAGAGATACAGAAAATAAAGCAGATCTTAGCCAAAGTAAACAGAAGAGAAAAGCACAGAAGTCACAAAAGACTCATTGAGATGGAGAGGGAGATACAGAGCTCAAGGAGGAGAAGAACAGGCAGAACAAGGAACAGCTGAGAAACCAAATCCAGAGAGAATGTGTTTCAAGGAGGATGTTATTAGAGTGAGGTGAAGGGTGTGCCTCTCTACAGCCTAAATGACTTCCTAGTCCCACCGTGGTGTTATCAACTGGCACAATCAAGACTAGACCCACCAAAATCACATGAGCATCTTCAGGGAACAAATCACACACTCTGACTGTAAGACATATTCAAGACCAAATTCTTTGCCAGAATATGAGTCAAGATAGTTCACCAAAAAAAATGCATTATTCTGTCGTTATTTTCTCTCCCTCATGACGGTATAGCTTTATGTTGCTATTGTTTTCATTGAACATAAATAAATAAATAATATGAAAATGTTAAAATAATTATTTATTTTTATTATTTTGAGAGAATTATGACTAATTTTCTCGCTCAATCTGCTGACTGCTGCTGCTTCTGATTTAGGGAAAAGCTGCCCATAACTGCTGGTCTAGGATCAGTTTTCTCTGTAATAATAGCATATTGGCGAAACAGATTTGGTGATTGCACTCTTGAGAGCAACAAAGGTTTCTATTTACAATGTGTTTTGCAGCAGTCAATCACAAACATATCTGTTGAGTTCTTAAACGCAATGGCCAATCAGACTTGTTTAAGTTAGAATCCCCTCACCAATCCAATTTATCAAGAGCGTTTATGCTGGGATGAGTAGGTTTCATGACATTCTATTTAAATGTGTTTTTAAGGAGGACGCGCATCTAGCCGTACCCTGGAGTTGGCTCACTCTCCACCTATGTGTGTGTGTATATATATCAACTCATGAACATTTTAGACTGTCAATAGTCAAATTAAAATCACAACCTATTCTTGATTTCTTATTCTTTCTCAAAAACACATACACTAACACAACCCACTACTCTGTGGATACAATATAAAAGACCTTTGTTCACCACCATAAAAACATCTTAAATATCCCCTCCAGGTTGAAAAGTGAAACCACTTTTGGTCCAGACAAATGGTATGAAGATCAAGTCTGTTGAGGCCTATGACAACAATTACAAGTTTATGTTTATGTAACAAATAACATCTGTTCAGAATATGCTTATGTTTTTGTACTACATCCTTGGTACACATGTAATCACTGGAAGTGTCCGATGGTATGACATTATGTGCTATTATTTTCAGAACACTGTGAGCATTTTATGGTTTCCCTAATTAAAATCTGCTGTTGTTACAAAGCTTCACCTTGAGTCTTTGCTTTCTAAGCAGAAACAAATGTTACATGCAAATGCTGCAGATTTTTGTGAGTGAAAGGTCTCACTGAGACAGACATACAGTCTTAAAAATTATTCACAACTGTGTCTGAAGCAGAGCAGTATTATCATACTCTGAACTCTACATTAAATTTGCATGACAGATAAAGTATCTCTTTCTAAAAAGAAATACCATTATGCATTAGATGTCAATATTCCAACACATTTAGGAAGATCTAACAAATTTAACGAAATCTGTCTTTAATGAATCTGTCAGATGAATCCCACACCTCTTATGAGAGCATACACAGGTCAAACTCATGACCTGTCACTGTAACTAGTTTGTTAGATCATTTTCATACAGAAGCATCTTTGTCAAGACCCAAGTTCATTGAAAGGACACATTTGCAAAACATTCCTCTTAATCTACATGGGATTTTAAAGACTTGATTATTTGAATTGAATCAAAGAACATTTACCCACTCAACCACTTAGATGAAGACAGATCAAAGTGTCAATTCCCAAATATAGCCAACTGAACATTCCCTAAGGGATTCCTGTTTTTGTCTACCAACACTTAAATAAATGGTAACCTGAAAATGTACTTTAGGTGGTAACATCTAAATTATGGGATTGTATCATGTATTACATTTATACTCTAAACAATGCTGGACTGCTGTTTCAACCCATGTTTGGGTCAAATATGGACAAACCCAACCTTTAGTTTACATTTTTAAATTAAATTTTAAACCCAACGGTTGGGTTTGTCCATTATTGGCCCAAACTTGGGTTGAAACAAATCACAGTTGATTCAAAATGATTTTGAGATCAACAATAAAACTCTTCTGAATGCACATATAGAAACATTTAAGTGCATGTTCTTCTTGCACCCCATGATTGTGCCTGAAAAACTAGTATGCTGCCCATAGTCATTCTCATGATGCAAATGCAAAAGCTGTCTCCAAAAGAACTAGGTTGCAAAATGATATATGCAAAATGCATATTTTAATGGATAATACAATACCTTAATGCACTGCAAGCTCAATGAAACATTATTTAATAACCTGTTGCAAGGTATTCCAAATTGAACACATTTTGTCAAGTGAAAGGACCCTGTTATACAGGAAACATTTAATGTTTTATGTATAAAGTAACAATACTGTATGCGTCCTGTGTATGGTTGAATTTATTTTATGGTAAATGGACTGCATTTATATAGCGCTTTCACAGACCCAATGGCCACCAAAGCACTTTACATATTGCCTCACATTCACCCCTTCACTCACTCATTCATACACCGACGGCAGTGTCAGCCATGCAAGGCGCCATCCAGCTCGTCGGGAGCAGCTGGGGTTAGGTGTCTTGCTCATGGACACCTCGACACTTGGTCAGGTGGAAGCGGGGATTGAACCACCAACCTTCTGGTTTGTAGACAACCTACATGAACCATTGAGCCACTGCCGCCCCATAAGATTTGTATCTGTATCTATTTGTAAGATTTGTATAAAGATTTTTATAAGATTTGAATCTCCACAGAGTAGCTGATTCTGTGGTTGTACAAATTGCCTAATGGCCATTCTTGAGCACCACTCTCAAGTCTCCTATAAAACATTCCTTTATACTTAATAGAATCTAAAGCAGCTGACGCTCCGATAAGCCACAGAGACTCCAGAGAAGACAACTCTCTGATGAGATCTAATCAACCTGCTGTGACTTAATTCACTTAGGCTTTACTAAAAAGACTCCTGAGTGCTTAAATTCAGTAAGTTCTTTTCCTATTAAGCCTGAAGACTGACAACATATGCCAGGACTAAATTTTCCCTCTTAAAACATCTCTCATTTGGACCTTATTCAACGCTTGTTCAAATATGATATGTTGAATTCAGCCGGTAGAAACTCACTAACCTTGGATCTCATTGTGAAATAGGAATTAGGTCTCAAGTGTGCTGAACATCACTCACCTGCCTGTCAGAATTACATTGTTTGCTCTCAGTGATAAAATCTAGATACCATCCCATTACAGAGAGGGGAGAAACAAAATGAACTCGCCTTCCATGGTTTCTCAGTCTCTGCAAACACAGTAGACCAAAAGAAAAAGGTCTTTTATCCAGACAAATGAATCAAATTGATTCTCTTGCAGGGTTCCCCCGACCCCATGCAATCTATATAAAATGTAATTCCTTCCGCCCGATACATTACCAATGCACATTAGTGTCCCAAAAGACTGTATCATTAGATTACAACATTAACCACAATGTGCAAACAACATCTCATTACATCAGGCAGGACTTCTCCCTAAAGGGATGTCAACCCTCCAACCATGAATAAAAAAAATTAAGGTTTTGTTCCAAAACTTAATGAACTGTCTTGAAGTCTACTCCCTACATAGACAGCTAGGCAGCATCTTAACTGAGCCTTATAAAAGACTCATAAAAGACAAAAAAGGTTGTTGATTGTGGCCTGTGGAATGTTGGTCCACTCCTCTTCAATGGCTGTGCGAAGTTGCTGGATATTGGCAGGACCTGGAACACGCTGTCGTATACGCCGATCCAGAGCATCCCAAACACATTCATTCATGCTGACTACAGGGATGTCCACCAGAGCTGTTGCCTGTGAATTGAATGGAGACGGCTTATGGTAGAGAAATGAACAAAGGCGTTTCAGAGAATTTGGTAGTACATCCAACCGGTTTCAAACCGCAGACCACGTGTAACCACACCAGCCCAGGACCTCCACATCCAGCATCTTCACCTCCAAGATCGTCTGAGACCAGCCACCCGGACAGCTGCTGCAACAATCGGTTTGCATCACCTCATGTTGCAGCATGATAATGCACCGCCCCATGTTGCAAGGATCTGTACACAATTCCTGGAAGCTGAAAACATCCCAGTTATTGCATGGCCAGCATACTCATGTCACCCATTGAGCATGTTTGGGATGCTCTGGATCGGCGTATATGACAGCGTGTTCCAGGTCCTGCCAATATCCAGCAACTTCGCACAGCCATTGAAGAGTGGGCTAACATTCCACAGGCCACAATCAACACAATTTTGTTTTTTACTGGGTTGTACTGTATTTTACAATACAGTACAAATGCACATTTTAGAGTGGCCTATTATTGTGGCCAGCCTAAGGCACACCTGTGCAATAATCATACTGTCTAATCAGCATCTTGATATGCCACACTGTTTTCTGTGAGGTGGATGGATTATCTCGGCAAAGGAAAAGTGCTCACTAACACAGATTTAGACATATTTGCGAACAATATTTGAGAGAAATAGGCCTTTTGTGTATATAGAAAAAGTCTTAGATCTTTGAGTTCAGCTCATGAAAAAATGGTGGCAAAAACAAAAGTGTTGCATTTATAAGATAGATAGATAGATAGATAGATAGATAGATAGATAGATAGATAGATAGATAGATAGATAGATAGATAGATAGATAGATAGATAGATAGATAGATAGATAGATAGATAGATAGATAGATAGATAGATAGATAGATAGATAGATAGATAGATAGATAGATAGATAGATAGAGGTGTGGCGTGTAACATAAGCCTACCTGATAAGGATAGAGCGTGACACCGTTGGCTCTTGACTGGTGCCCAGATGTCCAGGTGCCTTCCAAGTGTTGGTGAGCTTGGAGTGCGACAGAACTCAACACAGTTCCATTAGCATTGTTGGGGCTGCTGGGGAGATGAGGCTGTTGCGGTCCTGTGGACTTTCCTGCATGGCCGGGCGAATTGTTCTTCTTCTCCACCCCGCTGCTCACACCCAGACTGTTGGGTTTGGATCCGTGTTTGGGGTAGGCTGTGAGGTGGGAGCTGCCGCTGTTGCTCGCGTTGGTGGTTGTCGGCGTAGAACTGGATGTGGTGGCGGAAACGGTAGCAGAGGTGGAGGAGGCTGAGGAATGGTAGCCTGCAGGGAGGTATGCCCAGTCACGAGGCGGTGTGGGACCCTGGAGGATGCTTCGGGAACCCACCAGGGAGGCCAGGGATGGAGGGGAGCCAGGAGATACATCACACTGCTCCAGGCTCAGCACCATGTGGACGGCCTCCTGCTTCAGCTGACTCAGGTGGGTGGCGCACACGTCACAGCGACCGTCACGCTCGTTCCATGCCTTGCGTGTGCTGTTGGACACCTGCAGCTTATCATGGAGAAGCAGGGAGAAGGAGGGATCCTATAGAGAGACAGGGAATAAAGAAGGAAAAATTCAGTTTTACTTCTGCATTTACAAGTCATACTTCTGCATATAAGGTTAAATAAATGTAGTCAAGTGTTGACTAAATGACCATGAAAAGTTAAGAGAGATTAATACATAAATACTCTTAAACAAGAATAACAAATCAGGTGTATCAGTCAAATTCACTGTGTAATTTTATAATATCCCTACCAACAGTAAAATCATTCACATGCTAGAACTCAAAAACGAATCTCTTTCTTTTCTCAATTGCTTCTCATAGACAGCAATAAGATTAAATGGAGAACAATTTGAGACTTTTTATTAAGTCTACTTATTAAGTCTATCTGATTCTCAAATTTTTCTCCTGGAACAGACCATAGTCAGCTCAAATGTTCTGAAAGTGACTTTAAATATGTCTCAGGCAGTGATTAAAAAAAAATCTGCAGTCAAAAGTCTTTTGATACAAATTTGATTATAAACAGACTTTTTTTAAAATCAAATGTTCTCTTAGATGTTCCTTCTAAAACTATTGAATGTCCACCAAAGAATAAAAATTCCCCATCCCCATGTGGTGTATCACTTTCTTCTGCAGAATGCAAAATACGTTTTTTTGTAGAATGTTTGGAACCAACCATTCAGTTCCATCAGGAACAACAGGAAAAAAAAACTAAACTAAACAAAAACAGAAATTTTGAAAACTCTAAATATCTTCTTTTGTTTTCCATGGAAGAAAGCAAGTCATGCAGGTTTAGAACGATAGATGTCAGTAAATGATGACAACATTCATTTCTGGGTGAACCAAAAATATAGAAACATATGAGACTGTTGGTATACAGTCGTCATACACAAAATAATTTAAGCTGCTATCCACATTATTTTATTTATTGATCTGTATAACTATTGTTTCATTTTTATTTCTCCAATGGAGTTTTAGGAGAAACATCCAAGACAAAATTGATGAAACTGATAACTCAATTAAGTGCAATGAACAAGGAACCTTTAAGCAATTAAACTTTCCTCTGGGCAAACATACACCTTTGGTTCCTCCAATGTCTTTCCCCAAGCAGTCTTTAAGCAGACTAAATGACTCTGCACTGCAAAGTAATTAGAATCATTAATTTATCGCCACACAACCATGGAATTTTTTTTCAAAGACATTCACATGATGTCACCACTGATCGGCACCATGAACTTATTACAGGCACAATCTCTCCCCGAAGCATCCTGGGGTTAAGTGCCTTATTCAGTTTTTGATTGGCTCATGGCTCACTTCCTACAGAGATCATACCACCAACCTCCTGGTTACCAACCGTGAGCATAAACCACTTCACCAATTAATGACTAACTGAAATCTAAAGATGATGGCATATGCACCAAATATAAAAGATGTCCATGGTTATTGTTATATAGTAAAGTAGGTTCATTACTAAATGCAGAACACTGCCCTTGTTCTCACGCATTGTCACTCTGAATTTGTTCTGATCTTTATTTTTCTGTCTTCCAATTCTTCATTAGCATAAAGCTGCCAGTTATCTGGCTTTGGTGCATCATCACACCATGTGCTTGAGGTTTCCATGAGACGAAGATCATAATTACGTTTTGGCAGATTCTCAGAGGGCCAGTGTGAGGACGAAGGAACGATTCTAGTTAATTCATTAAATGACATCATCATTTCATCATGCAAGGGAAGAGATGCACTCTTGCAACGACTTAGTGGACACTCAGAAATAAATATACTTAATCTTGCATTCTGTTGCATCCCATCTGTGTCTTATTTTTGATTTAAGACATTGACTTAAAAGCTACATTACACAAAATAGTTCTGCCACAGGAAAGAACTAAGAGATCTCACAACAGATTTATCACCAACTCAATCCATTCACAGTTGGAATTTCTGATTTTACCCCCATACATCTTTAAGCTCATCATTATGCCTAGACGGTTCTTCTCTCATTTTAGACCGAGCAAAAATCGAATTAGCGTCCCCAAAGCCTTGACAGATACTTGACCTTTTTAGAATAGACAGTGTCTGTTCGATGCTATAATGGCGCTTTCGGACTCCAACTGCAGTAGTCCTGAGAAGGTGTGAAGATTAAAGCAGCTAGTATAACAATAAACCTTAAACCTTTGGACCAGGCAGCCGCACTCATGCATGAAGAGAGGCTGAATTAGCATTGCAGCGAGTGACAGTAGCATTTGTCTAAAGCACTGGTGCAGGTGCATGAAATGTGGCAACACATCTGTACTTCAAATGAATTGTTGAAACAAGAAGGAAGTTGTTGAAAAAGAAAGTCAGCTGCATTCACAATCCAGTTTTCTTCCATAATCGGACATATTTCAAAGTAAAGCGGAACATGCAACATGATTTTATACATCTCAAATTGACTGGATTGTGAAAAAAGTGGGCGTTACATACCAGAATGGCCGCAATATCTCATTTCAATACCTCTTATGGAAATATATGTTATGGTGTTATTTCCATAAGAGGTGCATACATTTTTGGTCAAGATCTTGTATTGAGAATGCAAGAGTCCAGCACTCTGTAAAGTCTCCTTTCAATGAATTTAAGGTCTGGACTCAGAGGTGCCAATTCATGTGTGAAAATGATTCTTCATTCTTTCACAATTTGAGCCTGATGAATCGTGACATTGTCATCCTGGAATATGGCCATGATGTGTCTTCCTACATGGTTATTTAAGAAATGAAAAGCTACACAGTCCATCAATTAGGGCTAGAAGAACTGTTGCCAAACATATACTGTAACATGCTAAAAACGTAATAACCACAGCAATAACCAATCATAGATTCTTAAGCAGTTGCCTATTTAAATCCAAATAGCAACTTTTTTTTCTTTTCTTTTTCTGGCCGGGCAGTGTATATATATATCACTATATTGAAATTTGTATTGAGATATTCATTATAGTTCATTATGCTATTTTAGATGATTTTTGACCTAAAATAATGCTTTTACAAGGTAAAGCAAGTCATACCATTTTGATGGAAAATTATAAGTCAAGCATTTCCTTCCTTTACAACAACATGCAGATGAAATGTGCTCAAAAATGCGTATTAAGAAAACGTTATTTTAGTATGGATTTACTATTATAGTTTTTGTTAGATTATTTGTTTTATATTTTATTTTTACAGGTTTAATAATTGTATTGTGTTTTCATCACTTGTAGTCTCTAATAATATAGTTTTTATTAAGTTTTAGTTCGATTAGTACTTCAACTTAGACTAAACAATAATGAGAAATGATGCCTTTGCAACTATCTGAAATATAACATGTTCACGTCTTTTAATATATATATTTTTATTTTATTTCAAGTAATTGAAATGTTTTTTTATGGTTTTACTTAATTATCCTGGGAGGGAAAATAGGGTCAATTTTGACTTCAAGGACTAGTTGCTGCTTTTTTAGATGGCACTGCATGATAATATACTTTTCCAGCTAACCCATTTGTTAGGGAACGTTAACCAAGTGATTTAGGGTTCCATTGAATATATCTCCATCACAATGGACTCAGAGTTGGCAGGGCCACAGTGGGGCGAAAACCCAGTGCAATGCTTACGGTGTCCTTACCGCACCTTGTACCTCCCCGTCGGGTCTACCTGGCCCCCCTCGGGTGGGCACAGGGCAGCAGTCCAGCTAATCAAAGCCCCGTGCACGAGCACAGTCACTGAAGGAGAGAGACTGAAGGTCTGTTCTGATTAAAACCACACATTCCTGCTGTCAGTGTAAATCTAGAGACTGACTCTCATCTTACACAAGCTGCTTTGTGTATCCGTCCCCTCCTCTCCCAGCATCCCCTCTGCCCCATACAATACACACGGTGACCTCTGCGGATCTCCTCTCATAGAGTAAACTTAAGCTAACAGGGCAGCACTGTACCTCTAAAAGTCCAGACCTAAGACGTTGGCGGTCTTGTCATGCGTTTCTGATCAGTCTCCATACAAAGGAAATGCAAACCCACTTAAGGCACAAACTCTACCCAGTATTTGCTTCTTTTTGCACTATGTATATATAGTGTCTGAATATTATGAGGATTAAGTATTTTAACATTCAAATATTGAATGGTTTGCATAAATAGATTAATAAAATTGGATTAATTGGATTCAGTCTAGTGTTTTAATGTCTTGTCATTTGCCTTCACAGTTCATTGGTTTGAGGGTTGACATAAACATAGTTTGAGAGGGATGTGTATATGATCGCCTGAGAAACTTAATAACGACATCATTGTGTCTGTCATCTTTAATGTCCCACCAGCCTTTCAACTAAAAAAAGAAAGAAATAATTGATACACTACTGTTCAATATTTGAGATTTATATAAAAAAGAAAGTAATACTTTTATTCATCAAGTATGCATTAAACTGATCAAAACTGACAGACTTGACATTTATAAATGTAACAAAGGATTTCTATTTCAAATAAATTTAAACTCCATTCATTCTGTTTCATCCAATCTGTGTATTGTTTTGATTAAGACTTAAAAGCTATACATTACACAGCTAGATTATAATGGTTTCAACAAAAATATTAAACAGCAAAACTGCTTTCATCATTGAAATGTTTCTTGAGCAGCAAATCATCATATTAGAACAATTTCTGAAATATCATGTGTCACTGAAGACTGGAGTAATGATGCTGAAAATTCAGCTTTACCATCACAGGAACAAATGACATTTTAAAATATATTAAATAGAAGAAGAAAAAAATCACAATATTACTGTATTAGCCTTGGTGAGCATACTTTTTTTTTTAAAACATACCCCAAACTTTTGAATGGCAGTGTATATGAACTAGTTAGATATGATATGCACAATACTTCACTCAGGACGTCTAGCTGCATGTGATGTATTAGTCTGCACAGAAATATTGATGTATTGATGTATAAATATTTGTAGAAGGCAGACAGAAGTGATCTGGAATATGTCTGCTGACCCCACTGACACACTGACCTCTACTTCCCTGGCCGGCAGGAAATGATCAGTCACA